TGGCCTTGTTGACTTTGCTTTTCACCTAAATGACAACTTACTAACATGAGTTAAGAGAATTTTTTAGAGATGATGATGATGATGAAAATGATAATAATAATTACCATTTCTATGTCACTTTAAAATTTCAGAGCACTTTATAAATATCATCTGGTTTTATCCTTACAATAATCCTGGGAGGTAGGAGCTGTTTTTATCTCCATTTTACAGATGAGAAAACTGAGATAGCTAGTAAATGTCTGAGGTTAAATTTGAACTCAGATATCCCTGACTTCAGGTCCAGTGATCTAAACACTGTACTACGTAGCTATCATCACTCCCTACAAAAAAGTCTTACACTTTTTGTGTACTGATATATTGTTATTATAATGCCTCATTCTGACAGGACTGTGATCTTGAGTGTCTGAAAGACAGGTCAGAGTAGTACAAGCTTAAGTCCCACCAAGCTAGACAGACTGTGTCTGCTGTCTGAGGGTCAGCCTAATCAAGAACAGTGAGTTAAAAACAGAGCATTGGCTACAAGGTGATGAAATTTTAAGCCATGATCATAGAGTGATTGCTTGAGAGAAGAAGGGGACCCTTAGACTCCCTAGAGTCCAACCACTTCATTTCATAATGGAGGAAAGGGAGACTCAGAAAAGTTATGTGAATTACCAAGGTTACACAGGCAGTAGGTGGTAGAAACAGGGTCCAAATCTATGTCTTCCCCCCTGCAAATTCACCACACTTTCCAGTCCATCAAGATCCCTCCATGAACATAATCAAATTATAAAATGGTCCTCCTCTGTTTCTACAGTGACGGTGTGTCACACATACTTGGAACAGAGTTCCAGTGAATGGCACACAGTAACACTAGGATATGTCAGAATGGTTAATTGATACCAAGCACAGTATGGACAGATGGATGGTGATTCTATCAGTAGAAAATTCTGTGGACTCCCTTTCCCCTACCATACCATTGGGCAGCAGGAAAGGTGGTAGCCTCAACGGGCAGTAGGTTGTGCATTCTGATGAAAAACCCCGAGTGTCTGAGAGTTTGAGTATACATAGGGTTTTCAGACAAAGATCCTGCCAGAGTAGGTGCTGCATAAATAGGTTCAATGAACATAGACCAGTAGCAAAGAAAGTTCTCTAAATGTTAACCAGGAAGGCCTATTCTAACTGTGTGACAGGGCATAAGAGTAGAAACCCTGGGATGAGGCAGATTTAATTACAACTGTGTCACATCTGCAAGCTTGAAGAATTTCAGTAGCCTGTTCTAACTAGAACTGAGTGTGGTAAAGTAAACCATCATTATGTAACAGGAGCTTCAGGGACTCTGAACTATGATTCTGAAGCAAATAATTCTACTGTTTTTTTCTGTTGTATTACCTAACTGCTTAAAGATTAAATAATATTAGAGTACTAATTTTTTTAAAAGTTTAACAACAGGATAGCAATTTGTTCCAAGACCATTTTTCTCTGAGTCCCATCAAAAAAGATGGGAGCTACCATAGCATACCTATCAGATTGGCCAACGTGACAAAACAGGAAAATGATAAATGTTGGAGAAGTTGGGGAAAAATTGAAACACTAATGCATTGTTGGTGGAGTTGTAAATTGATCCAACCATTTTGGAGAGCAATTTGGAACTATGCCCAAAGGGCTATAAACATGTGCATACTCTTTGGCCCAGCAATAGCACTTCTAGGGCAGTATCCCAAAGAGATCATAAAAATGGGAAAAGGACTTACATGTACAAAAATATTTATAGCAGCTCTTTCTGTGGTGGCAAGGAATTGGAAATGGAGGGGATACCCATGAGTTGGGGAATGGCTGAACAAGTTGTGGTCTATGAATGTGATGGAATACTATTGTGCTGTAAGAAAAGATAAGCAAGCAGACTTCAGAAAAACCTGGAAAGACTTGTATGGACTGATGCTGAGTGAAGTGAGTAGAACCAGGAGAACATTGTACACAGTAATAGCCATGTTGTGTGATGACTAACTTTGATAGACTTAGTTCTTCACAGCAATGCAAGAATCTAAGACAACTCTACAAGTCTCATGATGGAAAATGCTATCCACATCCAGAGAAAGAACTATGGAGTCTCAATGCAGATCGAAGCATACCATTTGCTATTTTTTTCTTCTGTTTAGTTTTGTTTCTTCTTTCTCATGGTTCCTCCTGTAGGTTCTCATTATTCTTTACAACATGACTAATATGAAAATATGTTTAATAGGAATGTATATGTAGAGCCTATATCAAATTGTACACCGTCTTGGGGAGGGGTGGAGGAGAAAATTTAAAACTCAAAAGCTTATGGAAGTGATTGTTGAAAACTAAAACTAAATTAATTTTTAAAGAAATTTTTAAAAAGATGGGAGAATGGGCAGCTAGGTGGCACAGTGGATAGAGCACTGGCCCTGGATTCAGGAGGATCTGAGTTCAAATCTGGCCTCAGACACATAATACTTACTAGTTGTGTGACCCTGGGCAAGTCACCCCATTGCCTAACCCCCCCAAAAAAGATGGGAGCAAGGTGATGATGATGATGATATATTGTCTAGAGTAATGTACAGCAGGTGTTTCTATGAGATCAAAATTGTAATTGTGAAGATCTGGCCTCAACCCTGAAATCCTGGACAGCTGGGCTCTGATGAGGGGAAAGGAATTAAATAATTCTAAAAAGTAGGCATCCTAAAACATAAGAGCCAAGAAAGAGCCATTAAACACACTGTTCATTCTCCATTGAAAGAGAAATTCACTATTTATTTGGAGATCTGAAGAACTGTCAAAGGCATAGGAGGAACATCGAGGCCAATCATTTTCAATTCACATTCCAAACCATTTTCAATGCTTCCCATCATCACAATAACCAGCCATCTGTAATATTCCCCTTAATAAAATCCTTGTATACATCAGTTTTTTGAGTGGGCTTCTGTTTATTTCTTAGGGACGGCCAATGACATCATAAAATCACCCATTTACAAACTATTTGCAGCTAAATGGTAGGGAAAATGGAAATGAGAGCTTGAAAACCTCACCTGCTTCCAATAAGCCTTTTTGTTGTTCAGTCATTCAGTTTGTCTGACTCTTTGTGACCCCTTAGGCCATAGCATGCCATGTCCTTCCATCCTTTGACATCTCTCAAAGATTGTCCAAGTTCATGTTCATTGTTTCCATGATATTATCTATCCATCTCATCTTCTGCTACCCTACCTTTTCCTTTTGCCTTTAATCTTTCCCAACATCAGGATCTTTTCCAATGAGGAAATGTCCTTGTTATATGGCCAAAGTGTTTAAGCTTCAGCTTCAGTATTTGACCTTCCAGTGAATAGCCTGAATTAATTTTCTTAAGTATTGACTGATTTGATCTCCTTGCTGCTCAAAAGTCTTTTCTAACACCACAATTCTATTAGCTTCCAAACTAAGACAAATAGTAACAGAAATAGGAATATTTAGTAATTACTTTCCACAGAATCGACACCTGTGTCTGAAATTTAATTTCATTGAAACAACTTTGCACAGTAATAAATTATATTGAAGTTAAGTGTGACTTTTCATAGAATAAATATACTTCATTACTTTTTTTCTTTTTAAAAATTAATCCACCTCTCTCATTTTCTACCTTTCATTGCACAAATTGTTAAAAAAAAAAGAAAAATAAGCCCTGAATACATAGCTGTATAGGCCAACAAAACAAATCCCCATGTTGGCAAGTCTAAAAATGTATATTTCCTTCTGCATTTTAAGTTTATCACCTTTGTTAGAGACTATATGACATGCCTTAACTTCATTCTTTTGGACTCTTGATTTATCATTGTGTGATTAGAGTTCTAAAGTCATTCAAAGTTGGATTTCTCTATACTGTTTAAATTTTTCTAATTCTTCTCACTTTGTTTTGCATCAATTCACAGAGGGCTTTCCAGGTTCCTTTGAAATTATCCATTTCATCTTTTTTTATGGCACCACAATATTCCAATATATATACATATATATGTGTGTACATATATATACACATATATATATATGTATATCTTACATATCAGACACTTATTAGAGAATTTTCATCCAAAGTTTGTTTCCCCTCCCCCAATTGATTACTTCCCTTCTTAGCCTAGTTAAACTGATTTTCTTTATGCATGCTTTTCAATTTCCTGTATTTGGAACAATCTTGTTTATCTTTTGTGATCACCTATTTCCTTTGTGTAGTTAAGAATTGGACCCTTCATCACAGCTGTGAAAGTTACCTTCTAATTCAAAAGACTCAGCTACTCAGTTTACTATGATCATAAAGTTAATGAAATAACAAAAATGAAAGATGTTAAGTATTCCTATTTGGGACCATTTACCTCAAGCGATCTCTCAATCTGCTTTCACTTCCCTTATCCCCCATATCTTTAGATATGATATGGAGATACACCAAGCCACAAGCACCAACAGTTTGTGGCAAATGAACAGCTGGAGAGATGGGGGACTGGGCCCCCAGCTTTAGATCTTATACTACATGAGAGAAAGCAGAGTGCGAGGGGTATTAGAAGAAGCCTATCCTTCCTTGTTCACCACTTTTTGGATTCTTGATAGCTGTCAGTCTTGGGACTTGGGGGAGTGGGAGGGAAGGGAATAAACATTTATATAGTGCCTACTGAGTGTCAGGCACTGTGCTAAGTGCTTTATAGATTTAGTCCTTTTCCCCAATCTCGCCCCTCTCTGTGCTCCAGTATCTTGAATGTCTCAGCAGGCCAGGCTCCACCGGCCTCATCTATCATCTACTTGGGGTCTCTGGCTGTCACAGTAGTGGTAGCAGCAGCTGTTTGGCAGTTAGAACCCCCCCACACACACTCTCTACCATGCCAATCACCCACATGGCAATCAGGAAGTCTGGATCTCAAGAGCAGAGAGAATAAGGAGCATCCAATCCTGCGCGCCAGCCTATGGCTCCCCTCCCCTCTCAATTCAAGCACACTTCCTGCCTATCATGCGCTCTTGTTTCCTAAGACTCCCAGTGAGTGGGTAAGGTCTGTCAGCTTGTCATGTGCACCACATCTATTGGAAACCACTTTTCAAGTTTCTGTTTCTCCATGAATCACAATGACCTCTGGGCCAAGAGGAAAAATAATAATTCAGAGAAACAAGAGAATGAGGTGAGCACAGATTATATCAGTCTATACACCCTTAATCCTCCCCTAACCCACTCCTGGGGCTTTGGCCCCTGGCTGTAGGGCTTGCTGTTTCCATCTGTGACAATTTCTCTTAACAATGGCCCTTCCTGCCTTTCTGCTGACCTGGATCTCTGATCCGGCTTATATCCCTGGCCACACTCATTCCAATCTGTTTACTGCAACTTGGGAAACAACCGTTTCCTTTTCCTCACTGGCCCTATTCCAGATTTGAACTGGATGAAATAGGACATGCCTGTTCCCTGCCCCCGCCCTTGCCTTATTCCAGATTTAATTGAATTTGTTTTTCTTTTGGGCAGGTGAGCAGCTTCTGGAACATCAGGATTGCTGTTCCCATCAGTTGTTTGGTCCCCAAGGAGATCCTCAATGACTCTGAATCCAAAGGAACTAATATTCTAGCAACAGCATATGTTTTCAGGTACTTTGTAGTTTGTTGGTGTTCAGTTGTTTTAGTTGTGTCAGACTCTCATGACCCCATTTTCCGCCCAAAGTTACTGGAGTGGTTTGCCATTTCCTTCTCTAGCTCATTTTACAGATGAGTAACCTGAGGCAAATGAGGTTAAGTGACTTACCTAGGGCCACACAGCTAGTAAGTGTCTGAGGCAAGATTTGCACTCAGGTCTTCCTGACTAGAGTTCCAGCATTCTTACTCATTTTTTCACCATTTTCATCCTTATCCTCATCATCATCACCACCACCATAGTATTCATCACTTAAGGTTTCTTCCAGTGCTAAATCCTATAATGTTACATTGCTAATAAACAATAGGGCCTAGTCTCAAATCCCATTCATCTGTCATCATGTGTGCTGCTTTTCCCACTATGCCAATATTTTTTTTTCCCTCCAGGATCTTTCTTCCCAATTACTTTGTTAGATTCCCCCAGATATAGACCCTGGTATGAGAGAGACAGCATGTTATTGTAGGTAGACATCCAGCCTTGGAGTCAAGAAAACTTGGATTCAAGTCCTGCTTTTGGCAACTATGGGATGTGTGACTCTGGGCAAGACTGTTCTCAGAGCTTTAGGCAGCTCTCTAAGACCACAACTTGCACTGGTAGAGGGAGTTTCTGTACATGGGAATTCACCAAACTAATGGATAGATCTGATCTCCATCTTCATTACCCTTAGAGAAATCTGCAGCTTAGTGGAAGATTTGCCCATTTTACTAAAAGAGATAGATCAGACCCCAACACAGAGATGGCTGGCCTGTTGTATTTCTATCTTCTCCAGTCTCTGCGCTTTCTGAGAAAAAAACAAACAAACAACAACAAAAAAAAAAAAAAAAAAAAAAAAAAACAGTCATCTCTGTAGATCTGAGTTCCTGCTCTGGTTTAATCTAAAAACCTCAAAGATTAGGAAAATTTTCATATTCAAAATTATTCAATTAAGACCATGCATCTGATCCAGATTTCCCACTCCAGAAGTTTTACTGTAGTCTGAATTCTCCAACTTGTTTTGAACCTTAATGATAATCACCTAATAAATCTGCAGGCCAATCAATCTCTTAGCCTTACAAGTCATATCATACCAAGCCTGTTTGAGGCAAGCAGGACTTTTCAGAGTGCTGCAAATTCAGATAACCAATCAACAGCAAGAATTTATTCATCAGTCATTTACTATATATGTCCACCACTGAATGAGGTGCTACAGGAAATACAGACATACCCAGGTATAATTTCTTTTGTTGTTTTCTTATTCCTGTGATAACTTGTAAAATTATTCCTCATTGTTTCAAAGGTCTCATTGGCTCCAGCCTTGACTGCCATCATGGGTACTTGGTCTGGTCTGATCACTTTTCCTGACCTTGTTTTCTTAAGTGCCATCATGAGGAATATACTTATGTTTGAGGAAGGTGGGGGAAGATGGTCGGTCATTTGCTTCAGAGAGTGGCTTAGAATCAGTGAAAGTGCTGCCCATTGACCCAAATGCAATCTGGAATCTTAGGTTCCTCAGATTCTATTCCGTGCCCTTTTCCTTGTCCACTTTCAGTGGCTTTCTGAGATGATGAACTGAGTCTGAGACACAAGACCCCTTCACTTCTGGTGTTTCATATATGTTTATAAATGATTTACAACCCTTGGTAAGGGATTGGCAGGGCAACAAGGTCCTTATGATTTGTTATTCTTCCCAATTGGTTTAGAAAGGACTCTAATGGGAGCTTCAAGGGGGATGGGCTGGGCAGAGATTTTCATGCAAATCTTTTGCAGGAGTTTGGAACTTTGTAGAAGAATGAAGAGAGAAGAAAGAAGAAGTGGTTGTCATCCCATGGCAGCAGCATGGCTGGGGCAGCAGTAGCTGGTGTCTGCCACATCTGCAATTCCCTTATTTAATATCATGAGAGGTAAATTCTATCTAAACAGTAAAACTGTAAAGTTTGTATGATTCTATGTCTTATCCCAAATAGGCAGACCTTACTATGACCCAGCCTCACGTGTTTGTGTTTTGCTTTTTCTTTTTTTGTGTGTGTGTGTGTGTGTTTTTCTTAAATGTATTCTGTTAAAGAATATATTTACCAGATTTAATATTATTTCTTATAAACACCTGTGGACTCTGTCCTTATGTTTTTGGGATGTGGCGTGAGGTAGTAGTGTGGCGCACACAGTAGAGAGAGGGCAACCTTTCCTAGGCCAGAGCTGGGAGTCCAACCTTCATCCCATCGTTAGAGAGCTGCACTCTCTAATTGGGGGAATAATCATGACTCTTTTCATTATTACCTTTTTAAGTGCAGAACTATTATAAATACTGGCACTACTTTATAGGTCCATGGTACAGATGAGAGCCACAGTTGCATATATATTTATTTCCCTAATAGAATGAAACTGCTTATGAGAATTAGGTGTTTCATTCATTGTATTTATATTCCCAACATCTAGCATGGTGCCTGGCAGATGTTTAATAAGTATTTGCCAAATGATTGATTGTTTAATGTGCTTTTTCCTTTTTAAAATTATCTTTTATTTATTCATTAGGTATGCATATTGCAAATGCCAGTAGAACGTAAACTTCTTGAGGCCAAGGACTTTAATTTTTTATCTTGGTGTCTCTAGTGCCTGGCATATTACTGTTGTTTAGTCATTTTTCCATTGTGTCCTATTCTTTGTGACCTGATTTTGGGTTTTCTTGGCAAAGATACTGGACTAGCTTTACCATTTCCTTCTCCAGTTCATTTTACAAATGAGGGAACTGAGGCAAATAGGGTTAAATGACTTGCCCAGGGTCACATTGCTGGTAAATGTGTGAGGCCAGATTTGAACTCAGGAAAATTAATCTTCCTGACTCTAGCCTTGACACTCTATCTACTGTGCCACCTAGATGCCCCAGATTGGCATATAGTAGGTGTCTAATAAATACTTGTTGAATTGAATTGGACTGCTTTACTGCATCCTTTGCCAGAATACTTTTCCAAAGTTGAAAAGAAGAAATCTTCTAAAGTCTTAGAACAGCTTACATCCCAAAGCTAGAAAATACCACCTAGAGAGTAATGGGGCACATCCAGGTTTCCTTGAGATTCCAAATCAGGCTTATAGTATTGAGGAAAGAGTACTGATTTGGGGATTAGAAGACTTAGGCTGTGATCTAAGCTCTAAAATAAATACTTTACATAATATTATGCAAATCATGTCAGCAACTGTCCCTTAGTTTCATCTACATAAAATGTGATTATTAATACATCTACATGCTTCTATAGCATAATATAGTACAGTGGTTCTCAAAATGTGGTCTGAGAAATCCAAAGTGACCCCACCAGAGGTATGCTTACCTAGCCAAGTGTTAAATTATTAGTGTGAGCATGTGTACCTTTGGAATCAACAAATTCTACAAATTAGTATTCGATTTATTTCCTGGTTGCGTAACCAGATTTTCAAAAAAGCAGTAGAAAAAATATTAATAATAAAGATTAAACTTGGAGGTGTATCTTATATATTTTTTTTTAATTTTTTGCCTAGAGAGCTGATTGTTAGGCATTTATCAATATACCCCTGCCAGAAACCCTTTCAGAGGGACTTCATTGTCAAAACAATTTTATAATAATACTAAGACATTATTTGCTTATACAAGTACTCCTTTCTTTCCTAGCTACTTACCTGTTTGAGGCCAGATTTTCTTCATACATTTCAACCAAAATAATATGTCAAAATAGATTGAATATAGAAGCAGAAATGAGAATCAAACTGTCTTTCATTAAGGCAGGCTTTACAGATATTTATAAAAAATATGTAAAACAATGTCACTTTTCATTTGTCTTGAAAACAGTTATTTTCATAAAAATAGATTTTGCATTAACATATAATGGGTTTGTTACTATTGTATTTAAATTAATTAATACACATATTTTAAATTTATCATTTTTTCTCATATGATTCAATCAGAATAGATATAATTAGATAGATATAGTTCCCCAAAACAAGAGCTCTTTGGGGTCCTTAATAATTTTAAGAGTATAAAGGGGTCCTGAAACTAAAAACTTTGGGAATATCCAGTGCAATGTAGAGGTTGTTAGCCAGGGAGATAGGAAGACCTAAGTTCCTTCTTTTGACTGACACAACCTATCTGTGTGATCATTATAGCAAGTCATTTCATCTCTCCAATCACCTGGCAACTCTCTAATGCTATAAATCACAAAGAAGTTGAGAATCTGCTTTAATGGAAAGTTTCCATACTGGTAGTTCTTTATGCTGTTGAATTCAGAGGTTTAGCTGACCCTTTTCCCTCTCCCTTCCCCACCACCTAAAAAAGAAAAAAAAAATGACTAGGATTAGACTGTGAAATCTTTGAGAGCAGGGCAGCTTTTTGCCTTCTCTTTGTAACACCAGCACTTAGCACACTGCCTGGAACATTGTTTAGTCATTTTTCAGTCATGTCTGACCCTTTGTGACCTCTTTTGGGGGGTTTTCTTGGCAAAGATACTGGAGTGGTTTGCCATTTTCTTCTCCAACTCATTTTATAGATGAGGAAACTGAGGCAAACAGGGTGAAATGACTTGCCCAGAGCCATACAGTTAGAAAATGTCTGAAGCCAGATTTGAACTCAGGTCTTCTTGACCCCAGACCTGGTATTCTATCTACTATGCCACATAGCTGCCCTAGCTCTAGCACATAGTAGATACTTAGTAAATGTCTACCTACTAACTAACTGACTTCACAGAATTATGATAAAAGTGGTTTGAAAACTTTAAAGTGCTATAGTATTGTGAAGTGTTGGGTTGGGGAAAAGGAAGACACCTGTTAGAAATAATAACTTAGGCTCATATACTGCTTTTTGTATACTATTCTATTTAATCCTCACATGGGTAAATGTCTGAGGCAGAATCTGCATTCTGTCTTCCTGACTCTTAAGTTTACTCTTCTGTTTACTGTACCATCTATGAGAAAATAGCTTTAGTTTATTGGTTGAAGAGGTTCCTAGGCTGCTAAGAATTTCTTTACAAGGTCTAAAATATATGCCTTGCTATTCCTTTTACTATTTTTATACAAATGCCAAGACAGCTCTTGCCCTCAAGGAGCTTACATTCTAATGGAGGAGACAATATACAAAAGGGAGTAGTGACCAAGAAAGGGAGCTATGATTTGGGAATTCTTAGAGATGGAGAGCAAAACAATAGAACACTCCAGCAACACACTCTTTCCTAGTGTTTTAATGATAGCACTGATTTGATTATAATTATCAGAGAAAAAAGTGGAATATGAAGAGAATAAGGGATCTGATCAGGTCCCAGGGAAAGCAGCAAATATTATCTCACTTAATCCCCAGAAAAACAGATGAAATTATTATGCTCATTTTGGATAGCTAGGTGGCACAATGGAAAGAGTACTGGGCCTGGAGTCAAGAAGACTCATCTTCCTGAGTTCAAATCCAGCCTCAGACACTTACTAGTTGTGTGACCTTGTTCAAATCACTTAATCCTGTTTGCCTCAGTTCCCTCATCTCTAAAATGAACTGGAGAAGGAAATGGCAAAGCACACCAGTATCTTTGCCAAAAAAAAACCCCAAAAGGGGTCACGAAGAGTCAGACATAACTGAAATGACTGAACAAGAACAACATTATGCTCACTTGACAATTGAGGAAACTGAGACAAACAAATTATGTGACTTGTCCAAGGTCATACAACTAGGTAAATACCTAAGGCCAGATTTTAATTCAAACCTTGCTGTCTCCAGGCCAGAACTCTATCCCCTGGGCCACGTGCCTGGCCTAGTCCGAAGTGATCAGATTTGCAGGGTACGGAAACTTTAGCAATAGGAAGAGTAGGCATTAGATTCAGAATTGGAAGGCTTAGGTTCAAGTACTGGCTTTGTGACTCTCCGTGTAGCCCAGGTAAAACATCTCAACCCTATAGGACTCAATTTCCTCAACTATAAAATGAGGAGGATGGGTAAAATTGTCTTTCATCTGTGAAATGAGAATAGAAGCATTGATAGGACCTCCATTACATTAGATATTGTAACCAAATGGGAGTTCCACAGCATAATTGGTTGATGTAATCACCGTGTGGGAAAGGCTGGAGATGCCTGATTTCAGAAAGGCAACCACTTTATTCCCTAGGTACTGAGATAACAAAGAGTATGGCCCTGGTGTTGGGGGAGGGAGTAATATTTGTAATTCTGTTCTTATTATATCTACACATATATAAAAATACACATTATCTATACAAATATATGTACATATAAATGTACAATATATGAAAATATATCATATATACATATAAATATACATAAATATTCCTTTTTAAAAGCTAATTTATCCTAATTGTAACTGAAGGTTATCAGTAGGGGTGGGGAGGATACACTGGAATGGAGGTTTGAGCTGATAACATTAAAGAAAGCCACTCCGTAGGGGTACCCCTAAAATCCTGAATGTAGAGTACAGCCACTTTCTGGGTACCACTACTATTAGTGAGAGTTGGGATAAGTGCCTCAGTATCTCATTATACAAATATGAGTTAATATTTAGGAAAATTTTAAAAAGATAATATAGGAAGATTGTGCTATATCATCACCAATGAAGGAAAGTAGAAATGTATAATTATCTGGATAGTTTAGGTCAAAACATATGTGAGACATGCCATAAGACTTCCACACTCTCCAATATCCACCCCAGTGGCAGTTTGCTGATTGTTTTTTTTTTTTTTACCTGATTGGTCAAGGTCACAGTAAAAGCACCTTCCACAGAGATACAAAGCCCCCTCTTCCAAGAGAGTGAAGGATTGGGACATGAGAAGGAAATGAACAGGAAGCACAATGCCCTGGAGAATGGGAATTACTCTCTATGACTTGTAATTGATCAAATGTTTCTTCATCAATGTTCTGGAATCGTGGATGGCCATTGTAAGGATCATAGTTCTTATAGCTGTCAAAGTTGTTTGTTTTTGCAGTGTTGTTGATATTGTATAAATTGTTCTCCTGCTTCTGCTCATTACATCACTCATCAGTTTACAAACTTTTCTCCACCAGCAACACAACTTGGCTTTTATTCCACTGAATATCATGCCCTGCCCAGGATAGGCTGATCACTGGAAATCTCATCACCACACCACGGATTTTGATATTCAGCCCCTTCTCAACTTAATCTCAATTGCTTCTTCTCTTTGATTGAAGGGCAGAACATTAAACTCTTCCCAAAGCCTTCCTTTATAGGGGGTTTCCGACCTTTCTCCATTTTCCATCAGCAGCTCTGTTTGGCTTTGAGTCACTGAAACACAGTGCCCTTGATTCAGTACCCCACTTTTCAGCTTCCTTTTGTATATTGTCCTCCATTAGATTGTAAACTCCTTGAGGGCAGGGATTGTCTCATTTATATCCCTAGTACTTAGTACAGTGCCTAGCACATAGTAGTCACTCAATAAATGTTTACTGAATTGAATCACTTTGTTATTTGTTTCTATTGTTGAGTAGTTGTTGCTTGGTATGTCTACACATGCATACACACACATACATGCACATAACACACATATATTTTTCAATAGTTTCAGTCTTGTCTGGCTCTTCATGATCACATTTGAGGTTTTCTTGGCAAAAATGCTAGAATGGTTTACATTTTTCTTCCCTACATCATTTTACAGATGAAGAACTGAAGCAAATAAAGGTTAAGTGACTTGCTCAAGGTCACACAGGTAGTAAGTGTCTAAAGCCAGGTTTGAACTCATGAACATGAGTCTTCCTGATTTCAGGTTTGGAACTCCATCCACTGCAACACCAACTACCTGAATTAAATTATAAATGTATTCAAAACTGTTCATTTTTATAGTTTTAATGTTTTGGCATACACTTTTCTATTTCTACTTGTTTCACTCTATATCAGTTTATTTAAGTCTTACTATATCTTTCTGAAATGATCTATCTTCTGATTTCTTATGGTACAAGAGTATTCCATCCCATTCATACACCATAAGTTACTCAACCATTCCTTAACTGGCAGCCATCACTCTGTTTTTCAAATGTTTGCTACCACAAAAAGCTGCTATAAATATTTTTGTACTTAAAAAACTTTCCTACTTTCCTTGATCTCTTTTGGGTATAAGCCTAACAGCGGTAGATCTGGGTCAAAGGGCAAACATTGTTTAGTAACTTTTTGTGTTTAATTCCAAGTTATTTTCCAGAATGATTGTATCCATTCACACGTCCAGTAAGAAGTACATCCATGTGCCTGTTTTCCTACAACTGCTATCATATTTATCATTGTCCTTTTTTGTTGCCAATCTGATGGGTTTTGAAGTGGAATCTAAAAATTGCTTTAATTTGTATTCCTCTATTTAATAATGTCTTGGAGCATTTCTTCATATGACTATAACCTGAATTTCTTCCATTGAGAACAGACCTTAGACCATTTATCAAGTGGGGAGTAGATCTTTTTGTTATAAATTTGAATCAATTCCTTTTATATCTTGGAGATGAGAACTTTATCAGAGAAGTTTGATGAAAAGATCTTTTTTTCTCAGTTAATACTTTCCCTTTCATGGCTTTACTAGATTTTCAGTACAAAAACTTCAGATTTTATGTAATCAAAATTATCGATTTTACCATCTATGATATTCTGTTTTTAACTTAGTCATGAGCTTTTTTCACCTACCTATAATTCTAATTTGTAATTATGCCATGTTTCTCTAATGTGTTTATGATTCACCCTTTTCCATCAAGGTCACATGCCCATTTGGAATGTTTCTTGGTATAAGGTGTGAGATACTGGTCTAAATCTAATTTATTTAATACTGTTATCCAATTTTGCCAGCAGTTTTTGTCAAAAGCAAGTCTTTAAAAGCATTAAAAGTCAACAGGAGAGTAAAGAACTTAATCCTAAAGAATTGTTGAGTCAGAGAGCAAGTCATAGCAACAACAGAAAATTTCATTAAAGATAATGACAACCATGGAACAACATTCCAAAATTTTGGGGATTCAGTCAAAACAGGCCTTAGGGGATAATTTATGTCTCTAGACACTTTTATTAAAAACAAAGAGAAAGAACAGATTAATGAATTGAGAATACAGCTAAAAATACTGGAAAAACCAACACATTAAAAAGAAGAACAATTAAACAGCAAAGAGGGTATCTTAACAATAAAAGAAAAAACTAACAAAATGGACAACAACAAAATCCAACTAAATTAACACTAAACCTCGGATCTGGTTTTTATAAGTAGATAAACCTTTAGCTAATTAGATAAAAAGAAAGAAAGAGAAAAACCAAATTAATAGTATTAAGAATGAAAAATTCATAAAAGAAGAAAAGATAGCATTAGAAACTAGTTTGCTCTACTATATGCCAATAAAAATGAAAACTAAGTTAAATAAATGAACATTTGTGAAAATATAAAATACCCCCAATTAAAATAACAATCAATATAGAATTTAAACAATCCAATTTCAGAAGAAAATGAACAAGTTATAAATGAAATTTCAAAGGAAAAATATTCCAGCACCAGATGGACTCATAAGTGAATTCTATAAAACATTCAAAGAACAATTAATTCTAATGTTATAGAAATTATTTGCACAAATAGCAAATGAAGTGATCCTACCTTCTATAACACAGATATGATCTTGATACATAAACCAGGGAGAACAAAAATTTAAAAAGAAAACTATAAACCAATGTCCTTAATGAACATAGATGAAAAGATATTAAATAAGATATAAGCAAAGAGGCTAAAATGACATAATAAAAAATATATAATATATACTAAATTCATATTATACATGATATATAATTTTATTAATTTATATTTTCTAATTTATTATATACTGTGTATGTAAAAATATATACTATAATGATATGTACCAGGAATATGGGGCTGGTTTAATTTTTGGAAAACTATAAATTTAATTAAACATATTAATAATAAAATAAACAAAAATTATATGATTATGTCAATGGATGTAGAAAAAAGCTTTTGACAAAACAAAACATCCATTTCTGTTAAAAATACCAGAACACATGGGAATAAATGCACTTTTCCTTAAAATGATAAATGCCACATATCTAAAACAAAGAGCTACCATTATTTGTAACAGAGATAAACTAGGGCTGAGATTCTTGTAATCTAGCCACTGCTTACTCACGTTCAGACTCCTTAAGAATCTGCCCAATATGACAATGTTCTAATAAACCTTGTCTTTGGCTGAGAGAAGGCTTGGGCTGAATTCTTTCAGGCAGGACCCATATGTTGAGATTTTGGGATCCCAGCACCCCTAAACCCCTAAACTGCATCCTACCTATCTGTGAAAAGTTATGACCTGTCTTTGATTCTGAAAAGGGAGGAGCAGCAGGAAAGAAAGGAGGGTCCTTGATCTGTGAATGCCTTGGTTCTCTGCTCTACTAGGGAGCAGTTACTAATGTATGAACAAGCTTCAGGTCCCAGTAAGAACCAGGAATTCACATCTTGAAGGAAGAAGGGGCTTCAGGGTTCCAGGCATATATAAAAGGCTTGGGATAAGGCAGGAGATTTCCTGTGTGTGCAGTAAGCAGAGAAAAAGGCTTAGGTTGAAGAAAACATCTCAGAAGAAACAATGAAACATGGCCTCTTCCCCAGAGCTGATTGAAGACCTCCAGAAAGAACTCATCTACTCCATCTGTAGGGACTACTTCACAAACCGAATGACCATTGAGTGTGGCCACAGTTTTTGCCATGGTTGTCTCAGAAGCTGGCAGGAAGCTTCAACTTCATTCTCCTGTCCAGAGTGCAGGGGTGTCTCTCAGCTAAGGGATTTCAAAACCAATTTTCGACTTGGGAAACTGGCAGCCATTGCCAAAAAACTAAGACCTCATTGTTTGCAGTACCCTGAAGAACATGGCAAGTGTGAGGTACATCAGAAAGTATACAAGCTGTTCTGTGAGGATGACCAGAGCCCAGTTTGTGTGTCCTGTTCTCAATCCCAGGAGCATAAGGCTCACAAGCTCTGTCACATAGTTAAGGCTGCTGAGAACTTCAGGCAGAAAACCCAAGAAACTGTGACTAATTTGTGGAGGAAAACTGAGAACGCTGTTCAACAAATGGCCAATGACAAGATTAAGTTTGCATTGATGGAGGAAGAAATAAAAATTCAAAAGAAAAGTATTTTGTCTGAATTCCAGGAAATGAAACAATTCCTAAGTGAAGAGAAAAATGCATATCTATCATATGTCCAAACACAGGGGATGGCCATTTTAGAAAGCCTGAACAAGAAAAGTAGTGGATTGTCCAACCAGGATCAAGAATTAAGGACAAGGACCACAGTGTTAGAGGAGGAGTATAAGAAACCAGATCTGGATTTGCTCCAGGATATGAAAGGAGTCTTAAACAGGAATGCATTTGTGCTGCACAAGGAAACAGAACCCTTCCACATATGCATGACTAGCGATCCCATCTCTGGAGTTATGGAATGGATGTTCAATTTTAAAGTGAACATCACTCTGGATTGCAACACAGCTGATCCTGGTCTCATCATATCTGAAGGTTTGAAAAGTGTGAAATATGGAGGTGCCCAGAAGGAAGCACCTGACAATGATTTTGCACAAGTTCTTGATACTCAGTCCTTTATTTCAGGGAGATATCACTGGGAGGTGGAGGTGCTAAATAACACTATCTGGGGTGTTGGCTCTGTAAAAAATCAAAAGAGTCTCAAGACTTCTTTGTGCTTAGGACTGTACAGGTACACAATTCCTACCACCTTTATACCACAGTCCAGCATAATCTTTATTCCCAAATTCGTGTAAAATACCACCAGGTCAGCGTGCCCAACTTAAAGGTGGGAATTTTCCTTGACTATGAACATGGAGAGATATCATTTTATCATGTGAAAAATAAATATCTAATTTATACTTTCCATATCACTTCATTCTCAGGACCCCTCATGCCCTTTTTCTATCTTTCTAAGAAAGTCCTGACAAATGATTGCTCTCTTACAATCTGCCCCTAATGGAGAGAAATCAAGAAATATACATTATTGGCCAAATGGACTTCAGGCACTGTATTACCCTCCCCCCCCCAATTCCTGAGTAAAAAAAAAAGAGATTAACTAGAATCCATTCCAATAAATTCAGGGGAGAAAAAAAGGAAGTTCATTGTCACCACTTCTATTTGACTTAGGACTAAAAATCCTGGTTATAGTAATGAGACAAGACAAAGAAATTGAGGGAATAACTATAGATAAATAAACAAAATTAACACTTTTTTTGCAGATGGTATGATGGTGTACTTAAAAAACCCTAAAGGGTCAAATAAAAAATTGACTCCAAGAGAGGTTAAGTGATTTGCTCAAAGTTACATAGCTATTAGTTTAAATTTTGTTGTTCAGTCATTCAGTCATGGCCAACTCTTC